CACACAGACAACCTCTCGTCAATATGCGTTTTTCGCATTGCATTGCTGCAAGAAACGCATAAAAATTACTTTGAAACATATAGTTTGAAATGACTGATCTATTGTGATCTATCAGCTCCAATCCAATCACAGGCTGTCTTTATAATTTTGTAGGCGATAAGCTAGAAATCCAAACTTTCCGGCCTAAAAGACCATTTGTTTCTTAAACGCTCGCAACCTACGATTTTTGCTTCGGGACGAAAGCTATTGGTATGGAATTTTCGCGCTTCCAATACACTACGTATTTTAAAAGAACATTATGACAAACTTTTACATGTGTAAGTGCATTCGCCTGGTTAGTATCCGCAATGTTTTATCGCGAAACAGGATATTGGCACTGACATTGTAGAACTCTCCAATCCACCACCTGGGTTTAAATAAGCTGAAATAAGTGGAGATGAATCGGCTTTCACAGCACCCTTTTTTTTATGGTGAGGCATTTTTCGTCACACAGATGTAAGCTCATATTATAACTCCAGAATAGGGAGAGCAAGAATTCAAATTTGTTGCTTTTCATCTTCCTTATTAAAAGCAAGTGGTAACGCAGTCGCATATGTACAGATGCAATGGCCAGCTGAGCAAATACAAAAATCTTCGCGATCCTTCTGGGGTGTACCGCTATTTATACGAAATTTGAACTTATCTCTGTCTAGCCGAAGTTTTTTCAAAATTTGTTCGAAAAACTGATAATTGGATAGACCTACAGAGAAATAAAACTGAAAAATCACTTGTTAATGCGAAATTTACGACCTTTCGTTCCAAGCCACCCGCCCTAATGCACCTGGATTTGCCATGTCCTTCATCTAGCATTTGGATTTATTTCCTGCTTTGCTTTGGTCGGCAAAAAATTTTTTTCAAGAAACTAACGAAAGTTTAAAAAGATGAAAAAAATGAGGCTTTTCTGCATGGTAAGGTCGCAGTATGGTGTTGATAAGGCGATTTAAATACGTGAAAGAAATCAGATAAGAATGATTTTCCAAAAAAAACTGAAATCAAAACACCAACAATACATTACAACTGCCCGAACTTAATTTGCTAAATAATTTCCCATTTCTGTCCCCACAACTTAACACACTGTAGACAAGGCAGTAAAGGGAGGAAGACTCAAAAAGCTTTTTTCAAATAGTCTGTAATTCAACATTTTTGACATGCATTTGCAGTACTCTCACAGTCGTTAAGGCATATTCATCGTGGTCTAAAAGTGACGACGTCTTAAACGGGGCAGTAATGCTCAAAATATGCCACTAGCGCTTCAAAGTTTCAAAAACCCTGCGAAAGTATTTCTGCCAAAAGAAACGCTCAGCTGCTTTCCCTTTAAAAGCAAAAGCTTTAACAGTAGCTGATCAAAATAACCATCAGATTAATTGAAAAACTTTTAGCAAGTCCTTCGCGGACCAAAGTGGCCAAAATCTTTCCTTATGCACTTACTGTTTCGTATCATTTGTAATACCCTGCGGGCTTGAGATTATAGAGCGGATAGCGCTTCATTAAGATTTCATTCATTTTTGAATAAAAAAGTATTTTTCATTAAGTTAATACAAGACATGCCACATTCGCTTTTCTTGTCAGGTCTAAATTTAGCAAAGTTGTCCATTTCTTCTGGTTGCCTTTAATGCAGCTAAAAAATTGGACGCAGTGCATTTTCATCGGAACATTTGACACAAACTAACAAAATTTATTCACATTAGAGTGAAAAAAAATTTTTCGAATAAATATGAACAATAGAACGCTCGTACCTTGAGTGTAGTTTTGATCATTCTGCACTCTCTTGCTCGCATGCTGCGCTAATCAACATTCACTTCCGGTGCAAAGGTACTTATCAAATCACAATTGCACACATTATTTAGTTGGTCAACTTAAAAATCGGCATTGCTGGAGTGGGAAGAAATAGGTATATAGAAGCTATTATCAGGTGTAAGGGAGACTGATAACTGTTTTCTTTTTATTTTCTTGATTCGATACTCCTAATTTGAAATCAGGAGATATTGCAAAAGTTTATTTTCTGTCAAAAAGCATTATGTTAAACCCATAATGCTTTTGTTTCGAAAAATGATTCAAGGAAATTTCTGAATGATACTTCTAACGGAACCATTCTGATGGAAAATGAACTTCCAGAACACAGAGGAATAAAGCTTTCTGGGAGCGCGTCATCCTTTCAGAATCATGCATATTAAAATTTATTGATTTTACAGAAAAAGGAACACAATTTTCAGTATAAAATAGTTTATAAGAGCATGCTATCCGATCGAGAAATTCATTATGGCGGAGACAAAGGATGGGAAGTGACGCGCGGGACCTATACATGATAAGGAACGTCGATTTAAAATGCAAAAAGAAAGTCTGTTGCATTTTAAATTTGACGCTCTTTCCTTAGCAGAATCCAAAATTTTGGCTGTTTATCTATCTGTTTGCTGAGAAATTAGAAAGCAAAAGCAGAGGAGATTTTATTCTGCCTTAGATTTGCTATGCTCTGATGATCATCAGTGTCAGGACTGGTTTGAGTGCTGGAACCGGGAAACGAAGAAAGCGGCGGTACAGCGAGTGATAAAGCTGGCGCACTTTGACGTCGTTTGCGCAGCCGGTCGAAGCCAAGACGCTCGAATGATGGTGACGTTCTTCGGGACCATGGACTGCGCGTATGCAACATAATCGTATGCGAGTATTTGCTTATACTCATACGAGCCCGATGCGATGCTTCGAATGCCTAGAAATTAAAATAAAAAGGAGAATTGGCGCTGAAATCTAAAATTTGTACGATCAGGTCATGGATTTGCTACCGTAATGTCGTCATTTTTTATTGCAGTTTGGCGAGTCTGGTACACTTTAGGCCCGAATGCTTATTGTTGCATAACGAACATTTTACAGCAATACATTCCCCTATACATCATCGTGCTACAAACAAATGCAAGTGCAGCAATAAATAAGTAATTCATCAAAGAAGTGTTTCATGTCCGTCGACAAACATGAATATATATGGTAAATTTGCTTTTTTGAATATGAGCAGTTTACATATAAGAAAACAAATAAGTTAAAAATAAGGAAACAAATAAGTTAAAGCTGGATTAAAAGAAAATTCTTTTTCGATAGCAAAATAAACTGACAACGCATGTCAAAGAAAATAGGAATTCCCGTATTTGTAAAGTCATAATTCAGTTTGATTATTACTTCCTACTATCACTTTTATCTTTTTTTTTCACAAATATGTACAACTCATAAAATCTACCGACGCTCAGTACCTTGTGAAATCAGGTCTGACCAATTTTGACTTCCATTTTCATGCATTTTTGCAGTGCAGCGCTATAGCCTTGCAACAGTCTCCAAAAACACAAACTGTAGCAAAATACAAGTGTTTGTGTGCGCGCCCAACTGTTCGGGTACTTCAATTCGGCAGCCAGATAAGCTCAGGTACTGAAATTTTGTCAGTGGGTTCCCTGTCCAAATGCGATCCCAGAAACTTTCATGCGCGCTTGAATCTCAGTTATGGACACATGTAAGCTTTGACGAGAAATTGCTGACCCGAGAAACAAAAAAGCTAAAAAGTTGGAACTTCAAGAAAACATTTCTTATTTACGACAAAATTTCAGCACCTGAGCTTATCTGGCTGTCGAATTGAAATACCCGGACAGTTGTGCACACAGCACACACACACAAACACACACACAAACACACACACAAAACATACACAAACACGCACATATTTTGCCACAATATGCGTTTTTGGTGGCTGCTGCAAGGCGCTAAGCAATCTAGATTTCAAATCCAGATCCTAAATAAGCCTGGTTCTTACATACAAGCGTATGAAGTTCTATGTTACTTCGTCACCCTTCCTTCTCTAAATCCTGCACACTGGCCAATTTGTATTAGCATTGAACTATGGATAATGGCTAATTTTCCATTTTCTTTTATGCAGAATTTACAGTAATCATACATGTTAGCAAATAAGATTATATGTGACCCCAAGTTGCAAAACTGCTATCATAGTCGATACTCTTTTCCCCCCGTAGGCAAGAAAAGACCAAATTCCGTGCCAGCATAAAAGCACATGCTGTTTGCGACTTGAGTACTACGAGTTTAGCGCAAATACGTAAGGTTACGCTTGGAACTCTATTACGCATTGCTGTTTATGTTTTATTATGCGTTTTGTGCTGTGTAACAGCAGTACAAAACGCATATTGTTACGGGGTTGTCTG